GCATAAGGTAATATGCGGTTCAAAATCTATGATGACCTCCTAACATCTTCCAGGAAGAAAATTCGAACTACAGCAAACAGCTCATACATAAACCAAGAAAATCCATACTCCAAATAAAATAAAAATACAAAATTGCCACCCAAACTTGCTATTTTTTTTCACCTGTTATTTCTACTTCTATGATGCAATCTAAAGTTCCAATTGCTTGAGTGAAAATTGTGAAAAAAAAAATTGTGAAAAAAAAAAATTGTAAGTTTACTGAATTTTGTGAACACAAAAAATATGGATTGTTAATTTGAATAATATCAAATCACTTTACATGACAAATTGGTTAATCAACTAACTTGTCTAGTTATGTGATGACAATATTTGAATTATCGATGTTTTAATATCATATTGAAAAGATTAATGAATGTCTCTTCTTCTCGCTAACCTAAGATCGTTTTGATTAGAGAAATTTTTATGTCTCCTGTATGAAATTAAAAATATTATAATTATATCATTGATAATCAAATAATTGTAAATCTACCTAAACAAAGAATCTTTACTGCATATAAACCTAAAAGCAGTTACAGAACAGGGCGGACCTCCATCCCCTATTTTCCGCAATTATAGCCGATATCCTTCTAAAAAAAAAAAATCCCAGAGTGAGTTCGATCAACAGGAAAAAAAAGTTTTGAATTTGAGGTTTATAATCCCAATCAACAGGAAAAAAAAAACAGAGATTCGGATCGATTGAATTACAACAGAAAAAGAAAATAAACGTGAAAGGACGATTTTGCTGAGGTATGTTTATTCTTTGTAGAAAGCTTTTTTCCTCTAATTTGTATGTTACTAAAATTTGAAAACAGTTCTGCCGTTTTAGAAAAAAAAAAAAAAAAAGTTTTGGAAACAGATTTATTTTATTGATTTTATGTTGGTGAAGTTTAGACACAGAAAACCAAACAAACACAATAACTTACCACATCAAAATTGCATTAATTGTAGTTACCATTCACATCGGACAATACTACTTTTCCATCCTCAGTTCCATCCTCGTCTACAAGCTCTCCTACTTGCGCGCGTTCGAGCCAGTGACCCCCCTACTGAACGAGATCCGCATTTTAGGGATCAAATGCAGCAAGAATATGTTCATCACCCTCATCCGAACTACGGCATCGCAGGCAGGCCGAAGTGTATATTTTAGCATATGTTATGTATATGTGGGTTCTGAATGAGATCCGCAGTTCAAGGATCGAGTGTATATTTTAGGTATATTTTATATATATGTGGGTTTAGAAATTGATTTTGAGAAACGATTGAAACTCGAGTGTATAAGTAAAGTATATTTTATGTATATATGTGTCCCGATCTGTCGCTGACTTGAATTACGAGAATCTCAAATGTATATTTCATGTATATTTTATGTATATTTGTACAACTTTGGTATATACTGTATATACTCGCAACATATACCCGCAACATGTAAATTTTCATATCTGATGGTGAGATATACAATCATGTACAGAATTTTCATACCCGAAAACATATAAATTTTCATACCTCGAAACATATGCTGAAAATATACTGTATATACCCGCAATATTTACAGAACAGAACTAACTATCAACTATTCAAGCACACCAAGTGTTCGACAATTATTCTCTGAGAAGTTTTTTGTCAAAACGGATTCAATCATGGCCATAACAACACCAAATTATTCGTCAACAAAAAAGTGAATACCAAAACAAGAAACGTGAAATTTTATAAAGAAAAAAAAAACGAGACGGGTCAATCATAAATATTTCTAGTTTATTTTTAGTTTATTAACAGTATATTTCTAGTTTAAAAAGATATATTTCACGTTTTATTAATAGTATATCTTTCACGTTTTTATTAACATTATATTTCTAGTTTTAATTTTTTTTTTTCTCCTCCTTCAGAATTTAACTTTCGAATTCAATGATTTCCGTTTCAGTATATTTGCAGTATATTTCTCCATCAAGCGACCTCCTCTCTGGCTGGGAGTACCTCGGTCTCTTCAACTCCACCACCGTCGGCAACGCCTCCAACCACGTGTTCGCCATTGAGTTAGACACCGTCCCGAACTTTGAGTTCAACGACGTCAACAACAACCACGTCGGTCTAACCATAGGCCTCACTGTCTCTGCTTTTCTCTTCTTACTAACCCTAATTTCAATTTTCCTTTTACGGAGACAGATTCTTGAAGGACTTATGGCGCCGACGAGAGATAAAATCTCCGGTGACGGAACTAAAAGCGCCATTGAATGAATATTTGTTGGGAAAAAGGAAGGATTTGAGGAGATATTGTGCTAAATCCTTTGATCTATTCGAACGGCATGGAGTGAATTTCCTGTGATGCGAATATTCGGGAGAGAGATTTGTTTGGTTGCAGGAAAAATTGTGAAACTCATTGTCGATGGATGATGGAGGTGGAGGATTAATGGGTAAGGATAATAATTATGAATATGGGAACGTTAGGACTTCTTTTTGTTTTGGTAAGTGTATATCTAAATCTCATTTAATTATCTAATCACATTTAATTTGCTCAAAAGATTCCTTTATAACGGTTGAGTTGTGTACATCTCAGATCTGGTATTTTTGCAATATTTTGGGGATGAATTAGTAGGATTATAAATAAAACTAATATGATTATAAAAATATTATATAAATAAAATATGATAGTATGGGGTGCAAATTCCTATTATGTTACATGACTCCAATTTGAAATGGTGCCAATTGGCAAAAATGGAGACTTCATAAGAATTTGGGTTGCTTCATTCTCTTTAGACTTTAAATTGGGCTTCTTTTAAATAATTTTGGGCCTCTAATGCCTATTAGCCCAATTAAAAAAGATACATGTGATGATGAGCTCTGGTCAAAACTAAAAGAAAAAGTAAATAAAAAGCATACAAATCCTGTCTGAGCGTCAGAAAAAACCAGAAACTGCCACGTATAATTCCACAACGACATGCAGCACGCCACGTGTTTGCTTCCCTATTAACGGCCACACTACGTGTCAATTCTACAACTCCCCTACATAAACACACTCCCAACAAACTCCCCCTTTTTCTCTGCAAACAAATTGCAAAAAAACCGTCCTAAAATTCACCAGTTCAAAAAAACCCACACAGATCCACACAAAATTCNAATGATGAATGCTTTGGCTCTGGGCCTCGTTCTTACCTCCCTCCTAACCGCCGGCTTCTTCTCCCCGACCCCTGAAACCCGGCAGCAACCGGCGGCGAACGATGAAGTCATCGTCAAAGACGGCCACCGCGTGGTGGTGGTCGAGTTCGAGAAAGACGACGGCGGCCACACCAAGGTCCTGATCTCTCCTCCGGAACACGAATCCGAAACCACCGGAAAATCTGAAATTTCAGAGTCGATGAAATCCGACGAAAACGAAGAAGCCGCTCCTAAATTCCGGCCTCGGGAGCTCGTGTGCGATGCGTACGGCAAGTGCAAGCACAAAATCGCGAGCGCGTTTGAGAAGACGAAGGAAGCCGTGGCCGACAAGGTCCACGCGGTTGAAGACGAGGCGAAGCAAACGATGGATAAAACTTCGGAAAAATCTCACGAAATAAAAGAGGGCGCGAAAAAAGAAGCCCTCGAAATCAAAGAAGGCGCCAAGAAGGTCAAGGAGAAAATCAAAGACGAGGCCAAAGAGACGAAAGATAAAATTTCGGAAAAATCAAACGAAATAAAAGAGGCCGCGAAGAAAGAATCCAGCGAAATCAAAGAAGGCGCGAAAAGGGTCGAAGAAGAGGCCTTTAGAAAAGCCGAAGGAGCTCATGAAATGGCGAAAGCCGCCAAAAGGGAAGGGGAAAAGGAATTGGGCGAAATCGTTCGCGGACTTCGTGAAATTGGACGCGACGTTTTTAATTACCTGTTTTTCTCGCCGGGAAGGTGGGGCCCGCTTTTCGGTATATTGCATTTGATGGGTTTCGCATCCGCATACGGGACATGCGTGTGGGTCACGTTTGCATCGAGCTACGTGCTGGCGGGGAGCTTGCCGAGGGGCCAATTCGGTGTGGTGCAGAGCAGGATTTATCCAGTGTACTTCAGGGCCCTGGCGTATAGTCTGGGATTGGCGATTTTGGGTCATGTTTTGATGATGGGTCGGGCGGGTTTGTTACACGGGTTCAATTTGGCGGGAGCGGTTGGTATGGTTTTGGCGAACATGCTTTATTTGGAGCCACGAGCGGCCAAGGTTTGCTTATGTGGCATGTCGTGTAGTGTGTGTTTGTGCTTCAAGATTGTTTATTTGATCATGATAAGTTCAAATTTGTGTGTTCGTGCTTCAAGTGCTTCAAGATTGTTTATTTTATTATAGTAAGTTCAAATTTGTGTGTTCGTGTTTCAAGATTGTTTATTTGATCGTGCTTCAAGATTGTTTATTGTTTATTTGATCATAACAAGTTCAAATTTGTGTGTTCGGGCTTCAAGATTGTTTATTTGTTCATAATAAGTTCAAATTTGCTAAATCTTTATCTTGCCGTGTTTCAAGATTGTTTATCTGATCATAATAAGTTCAGATTTACTAAATCTTTATCTCGTCGTGTTTCATGCTGTGTCGTGTTGTGTTCATCCTATCATTCGTCTTTGTAATAGTGTTTTTCAGTCGTGTCCGTGTTTAGTGTATTGTCATTCCTTGCTATGTGTTATGATACAAGTAATTTCCTTTAAGCAAATGTCTGGGATATATCAGAGTTATGAATTCGATTTTTTCACTTTTTAAGGTGATGGTCCAGAGGATGAAAAAGGAGAAGGAAGAAGGCGCCGTAAACGAAGGCAGCCAGATGGCAACCGAGCCTAGTAGCGGCACACGAGCCACGGGCTCGATTGCAGAAACTGCAGGAAGAGGTAGTTTGGCAACTGCAGAGAATTTAGGCCGGAAAGAAAAGCAGCAGCAGAAGAATGAAGAAGAAGAAATTGCTGCAAAAGCAGAGCTGGCGAGATTGAGCGAGAAGCTTCGGGGGCTGAACTCGTATTCGTCTTTCCTCAATGTTTTGACTCTAATGTCCCTCACATGGCACCTGGTTCACCTTGGCCACCGTCTTCATGCAGCATGCTATTGATTGGTTTAGAGGGTAAATGTGCCAGTAACTCTGTGTTTTGTTTGTTTGTTTGTTTGTTCAATGTTGATCTTTGTGTGTAAATTTAGTTTGTTTTAAGGATTTCGCGTCTTGTTCATTTTGATCCCTCTTGTTGGGGTTCATACTCTGGTGGAACATATGGTTAATTGAAGTAGGATGAAGTTCAGATGAGTTTTCTTGTTCTTTTTATCATGCTTCGTTTGGGCGGATGCTTCATTTTCAAGTTCAATAAACTGTGACTTGATTTGAAACTTCGTTCAATAAACTGTGAGTTGACTTGCAACTTCGATCCTAATTGCCCACACGGGGATCCAAACCATCATTTTCCAGTTCAATAAACTCTCGAGTTGAATTGAAGTTTCGATCCTAATATGAGGGTTCATTCAACCCTAGTGTAAAAAACTCGTTATGTTGAAATCTACACATTTAAGAATCTGTGGAACTTCTTGAAGTAAGAGTATGTTGAAAATTACACGTGTGTTATAAAGTGGCAACCATACAGGAAGTAGGGAGAATTTTGATCATGCTTACTTCAATATAGGGACAAATATATTGGTCGAACAAAAACGTAATATGCAGATCCTTCCATGTTTAGACATCACTCAATCTCAAATTCTCAATATAAAATCCTCTTAAACATTAGAGTACAAATATAGAAAGAGAATCAACTACTGGCGAGGTCTATATATATAAACGAAATGCCTAAGCAGCAAAAATTTACAAGCTACAAACATTTCGCAGCAAAATGCAACATATGAAATATGAAAAGACAGAGTTTTCCAGTCCTACACTCCCAGGACCCGAACCGAGCTTTAACAAATAACATTCTTGCATTTTCATTGCTGCAAAAAGAAGTTCATTCACATGTTTCTCCAGACTTCCACAGAGCTGTTGCTTTCCGGAAGCGTTTATACTATCATGGGGGAAAATGAAAGCTAAAGTACCCTGTGTGTCTTAACAACGTGTAGATCAATCACATTTGATGTTTTTGTAAATTCTCCGAACGAACAAATTGGATCCCAAATAGCCGACAGCGCCTGAAATTTACAGCAGATTAACATATTAATTCAAATCAGCTATGGTACATAGACTGATATTTGTTAAGTAAATACAAAATCCAATAGAGAATTTGAAGTGCTTAGGATGTGACAATGTTAAAAGAAATGCATACAGTCAGGGATGATAAACTTACCACATAGTATCCCCAGACCAAGACAGAACATCAAAGTGTACCCAAAATAAAAGCTGGTCTGGAAAAAGCCCGACATCTTTGTCTTCACGTGATAGTAATATATAGAGTAGAGGTATACATAAAGAGAGGTTGAGGCAGCAGAGAAGAATGAAGTCCATTGCCAATGATAGTTCTCCGCGTTCAGCAAGAAGTACGTGCCCACAATTGTCACACAAATGGTGACGATGATCAGGATCACAAACACGAGCAGCATGAAGCCATACACATAGTAAACCTATCAACCACAATAATGCATTAACAATAACAGCAAAGGCAGAGCAAATAACTTCGGCATCTGACAAGTCTAGAGGGCAAGACTGAGAATGACTTAATAGCAGATAAAACATCAAGCACACATATGGCAGAAAATTTTTTCTAACATAAAAATAAAACAGAAGTACCTTGTAATTCCAGAAGGACGTGAAGACGAAATACATCTCAATGAAAATGCTCCCGAAAGGAAGCAGACCTCCCATGAGAGAGATAACAGAAGGTGTGAGGTACCACTTCTTCTCGGGGATCGGACGAGGGATGGTCTTGACACGGCAAGGATTGTTAGGGGCGCCACTCCAGTTTCTTCCGACAACAGTGCCGAGAAGCGCAAGTGGGAAAGAAATAAATGCCCAAATGACAAAAACGACCACCATTGTGCCAAAAGGTATGGCAGCCAAAGAACCGTAGAATATTGCAATCGTGTTCAAGATGAAGCCGATGCCGAAACAAATGAAAGGGAAAAGTGATGCAGTGAGGATCATTGACTTTATCCATGTTTTACCTTACATGAGATAAAATTATGTCAAACTATGTTATTTATGCAGGATTAATAAAAAAATGCAGGCTTTTCATTCTTTTCTTTTAGGAGGTTATTGGAGAACATACCCCCATTGCGCGAATACATGCCACCACTCACATAACCAGCTATAAATGATGTAAAAGCATAACATACGATAAATGTCGTGACAATTGCTCCTCTCCTGAATCATAAATGCAAATAGTTAAAACACAGCAATGAGTAAGTCTTATCATATAACTGTGGGATACACTGAGCTTTTTAAGACTTCATTTTTTGGGAGCTGTAGTCCAACCCAACTAGTTCCTCGTACAGAAAACTATGGAGTAAACTTATTTCTTGGATGAAAAAGAATTATCGAGTCATTTCTTAGCAAACCCTGTGTACAGATAGTAAAAGGTAGTTTTCGCGTACCCTATGTACAACATTCCAACAATTGCGAAAATGATCACAAGCAGAACCAGTGTTGCTAACTGAGCCCCAGTTCCAACAACAGCTGAAAGAAGAGCAAGGTTTTGGGAAGGTCGAAACACATCACCGTGGACAAGTTTCCAACCAGATTCTTCACTCACATCCCGTTCCTAGACATGTAACACTCAATATAAGCAAGCTTCCAGAATATATGCCTTCCTTCAATTTGGTCACTAGTGAATACAGAAAAATTAAGTAATAAACTGACAATTACCAGAGTCTCCAAATCATCATCTTCACGGGCATATTTAGCATAATCATTGCGGAGAGTGCGCATTAGTATCATAGACACCAAACCAGTTAAGAAAATTACCATCATGAACGAATTAAAGACAGAAAACCAGTGAATCTGCAAATACGATGAATCTTTAATGAGATCACGGCAGAGGGAAATAAAATCAAAATAGATACTCTTCTTGAGTTCTCCATCACCTAGAAAATTTGAAGAAATTCACCTGGTGCTCAAAAAAGGGGTAGTCCAAATAAACATCAAAACGACGTGCGAAGGTAATATTAGTTGGGACCCATTTGACTGAGTAAGTCATTTCCAGCACTCGTCCCTCCTCAAGTGGCTTAGGGTTTTCTTGTGTAAGATTTACGTGGATAATCTGTAAGTCGTTGATCAATTAAAACATTCACAAAATCTTACAAGAGAATTGGTGTAGGGAAGCGTACGAATGGGAAGGATAACGATATACTCTCTCGTAAAACACACAAAACTCACAATATCAGAATCAATCTCAAAATTCACCCTCTCATAACAAAGCATAAGAGTCCATTTAAATAAGGCCCTCAAAACAAACCATAGCTTATTCTCCAAGCTAACCACTCAACAACAACAACAACAACATACCCAGTATATTCCCCAACCAACAGGTTGGGGTCTGGGGGGTCAGTTGTACGCAGACCTTACCCTTGTAATTATACAAGGAGGCTGTTTCCGTAGCGACCCAAGGTGCATTGCTCCGTTTGATATATTTTTTTTTCTAGAAACTTCACTAATAGAAGAAGCACTATAATTTAATTGAGTCATTTTGATCTAGTCCATTATTAGCACTATGTCAGGAGAATTGTCAATAATGACTCTTCCAGCTCCATTTGCAATGGACAACAACAATAATAATAATAATAATAATAATAATAATAATAATAATAATAATAATAATAACACAACAACAACAACAACAACATAGCCTTTAGTCCCAAGCAAGTCGGGGTAGGCTAGAGATAATAATAATAATAATAATAATAATAATAGATACTAATCAACACCAAGAATAATATTGTTTCATAACAACAAAAACAAAACAAAACTTTTAAGTTGGACCTACTTGATTGCCATTGTAGTTAATGACAAGGTTTTTGTGTGTCCAAAGTACGTGCTTAGTATCATGGGCTCTATCAGGAACCACCTCGCCAATAAAACCTTCGAGAAAGAATTGTCGATTCAATCAAACCGGAAGATAAATCAACTAAGTATGATCCCACATATATTCGTAAAAATTGAAACATACCCCAGAGTGGCAAATCATCTGACCGGATGAACCATATGAACACAGAGACAACACATCAGTTAGTGAGCAAAATGTATTTTAGCAATTGTGGTAATTAATAATTGTAGTAAACGTGACAAACATACCCATAAAGAATTCAAACCAGTACGAATTATCAATTGCGTCTTTAAATTGTTTAGCCTTTGCTGCTTCAAGCTCAATTTCACAGACTGTGGTCTTCTCCACATCTCCTGAAAAACATGATTTTTCCAAATATAAATGTCGAGGTGTAGTCAAACGGAAAAATTATAAACAAAAGAAAACTCAGTAACAGGGTATTACTCTTAAATTTGATTTCGATTTGGCTATCAATAAGCTCATTCCCCCCGAGAACCTCACCGAGCCCACCCCATTTATGAGCCGGGTTGCCAGGTGCACGGCAAAATGGGAGGCTGTAATAGTTGTAGGTTTCCTGGGGATTGTTATATGGGCCAACCTTATTTACCCAGAGCGTAACGGCCTCCCCATCTTGAAACTGCACATTTCTCAACCACATGTCAGGATACTGAAGGCAAAATGCAACCAAAATTTCCTATTGCTTTAAGCAAATTGAAATGCACCACAAAGGCCAAATCTTAGTTAATTGACATTGTCATCAGGAAACTAAACAATTACTGACAAATTTCAAGTACAAAATTGCGGCACGAGTAGTATCGTGTGTACAAGTAGGCATTGCAGACAAAACAAAATGCAGTGAGAGGACAAAAGCAGGGGCTCATAATAAGGAAAAACAAATATTACAACAGGAATCTGTAATCCCAAAATGAATTCAAACGATAAACAGGGGATAAATGGTCCCGAGCATCAAGTCGAGCTTTGCCCAAGCATTTCAATCTTTCTCATGCAACCTTTCGCAATTCAATATCATGTAAAGGATCCAATTATCCTCATAGATTTGTTTTTCAATATTTGCCTTGACCATCATAAACCAAGGTATTCGCTGACTGCATAAACCACCACCACACGCATATATGAAGAATACCATAAAGAACGATAGAACAGAAAAAAAGCTAAATTAACAATAATTGATCAATTAAAAACGAGTGCAAATCACAACAGACAACAGAAATCTACAGCTAGATCTACGAACGCCCAACAAATGAGTACGCAACCTTCAGAAGCTAGCCGCTGTAAATCAGTAAATTCAATCACCTTTCCTAGAGCGGACGGGACGAGGAACGAGATGAAGAAAATGCAGACGGCTGAGAATCTGAAGACGGAACCCATCACCTACGTACGGATAAGGTCCTTCCGATCTGAATCAGGAATAGCTCAACAGATTGAAATCTGACAAAAAAATGTGACGAGAAATTGCGGATTTTTTTCCTCTAGCTCCCCCGGATCCTCTCCAGGCAATTCAATTCAGATCTCGTGTGTTTTCTGAGATTACGAAGCTTTGGGCTCTGGATTTCATGTCCGAGTTCGATTCGATTTCTGTATAATTGTCTTCTTTTCTCTTTCTTTTCCCCCTTTTTCAGGATGTTGTTCGATCTCAGAGATGGTAAAGTGTGGAATGAAAAAATAGTGTGTAAATGTGGGTTTATGGCTCACACGGAGTGTGACTGTGCGAGTTGGCCCACTTGTATTTATAACATTTTTCTAATGTTGTCTCAAACAAGTCGAAATTGAGTTTCTAATACTTGAGCTTTTATATTGATTCGTTTATCAATATTAAAAGGAACTTTGTTAAATTTATTTGATAGCTTATAATTATATAAGTTCTATTCGTATGTTAAAGGAGTTTGAACTTTGCTCGTTTATCAATAGTAATAGTATGTTTTATAAATAAAATAACTAATTAATAAGTTAAATTATAACTCACAAGTTTATTTTAGGATAATAGCTGATAGTTTATAGTTGAAGACTGAAAATGTAGTTGATATAATAAAATATTTGCTAAAATTAGTTGATAAGTTTACCTAATGAAGTTTGTGAGAGAAGTTCGAAATTTTGTTTAAATTAATCTTACCCAACCAAACATATTTGAATACAAAAAACTGACAAATTAAGCTATAAGCTAACTTTTGATATTTATTGTTTACCAAACACTCTCCAATAAGCTGAATTCATTCCTTAACAATCCCTTTATTAATTTTTGACAAACGAACTAAGCTTGAACTCTATTGATCCAAACTAACCTAAAAATTCATATCAGTAACAACCTTATTATTGAGTCAAGATCAGCTCGATTCATTACTCTTTTTGTTTAACAATTATACATTTGTACTATCTCCTAAATATACAAAATTACTCCTTAATACAATTTCTTTCAAATTCATTAAAATCTTAATACAATTTCTTTCAAATTCATTAAAATTTCATCCACCGATTCTTAAATACCTGTTATAGTAGAATATTCGTGACTTACTGTATAACTTTTAATTTCAATTTTAGAATATAATAATTTTTTCTCAAGATAAACTAGTCATTTTGATGGATTTACTTTATTTTATTGCAATAGCAGCACAAATGGACATGATGCAACTTAAGGTCGACTGTGTGAAGTCATTCACACATTTTTTGTTATTTTGCTTTGAAGCGATAGATGGATCATGGATCTTTCACATTCAAACAATACATATTATGGCATTTACTTTTTTCATAAATACTGTTATAAGTAATTATGTTTTTTTTTCCAAATTAAGTAAATGATAAAATATATATATATACTTTTCAACCATTTTCTGAGCTGCTTCACTATTTCACATGTACACAGTACATACATTTCACTACACCACAAACTGAAGTGGAAAAACAGTAAAATAAGAAGAAAAAAAAAAGTTAACAACTAAAAGGAGCAGTAAGGATACAAAGGACAATTTACTAATGTAGTGCAGAAATCGTCACAAATTTACGTTATTGCAAAACAGGCCTTGCACTATCGAGATATTTCACATCGACCCCATCTCCTTCCTCCACGCTCCGATCGTCGTCCTCGCACTCACAAACCGATCCGACGACCAGCATCATCTGATCCTCCAGGTACCTCTGCATCATCCCATCCTCGCAAGCGCCGCCGCCGGATCTTCCTCTCCGATCCCTGCCGCACGCGCCCGCCCACCGCCGCCGCCTCCGGCGCGCGAGGTACCAAATCTCGGCGACGCAGATGAAGGGGAACGCGGCGAAGATCAGCGGGATGAGGAGAGGGCCGCAGAGGATCAGCAGAAAGTACCTCCTCCGGCGGCGGTTGAGCCAGGAGGCGAACATCCGGGCGGCGCGGCGGCGGCGGAGAAGAAGGCGCGGCTGTCAAGTACGGCGTCGTTTTGAGGCCCGTGCGTGGTGAGGAGCAGGTTTTGGTTTGGGTAGTTTTGGAGTGTTGGGAGAACGTAACAGAACCACCAGTGGCGGTTTGCTCAGCCAGTCCCACATGAGTGGTTGTTATGTGAATATAAAGTCTGATATTTCATT